AAACCAAGACGCGGAGTCGTGGGTAACCGCTTAAGTTTGTAAAATAAAATAAAATGTACTTTATTCTCTTTAAAATGTTAAATTATATACTATCTATAGTTTACGCGAGTAGTACACATTCAAATAAAACATTTTAATGGTTTAAAACGCGATATATTAGTTAAACTTATTGGACAATTATGATTTTAAACTTCGGCCCGACGTCTCCTCGTGACCACGGCTGCTGCAAAGCATCCGAAACGTCGGGCCGAAGTTAAAAATCATTTTCAAATAAGTTTAACTAATATATCGTGTCTTAAACCGTTAAAGTGTTTTATTTAAATGTTAAATTATTATATTCGTCAAAATTTTTTTGTTTGTGTTGAGTAACATGACCGAGAAGAACACCCAAGAAACTCAGTCCGGCTTTTTTTAACATGTCTTACGAACTAATACATTTTTGTGAATTTATTAACCTAAGGAGCAATTCATATCACTGCCAGGCGGTCTTGTCATTCAAGAAATCGTTCAGACAATAATACGCCTTGTGAAAATTTAAAATTTTATGACTTTTATTTATCGATAAATTTGAAACCTCAACTGGCAATGTATTATAAATACGATTATAATTCCCCGCAAATGAATAAGTTATTTTATGAAGCCTATATTTGGGTTAGCCAGCTTATCCTTATTTCTTAAGTTTAAATTATGTCTTTACAGGAGATCGATGAGCTCCAAGACATCCGCTTGACTCTTCTACACAAACAGCAGAGTGAGAAGAGACAGAAACAGATATCCAGAACCGGGAAGAAGCTGGCGAAGCTCTGGGCCTGCAAGAAGGCGGACATGGAGAGGAAGATCGACACTATTCGACGGACTCGAGATAGAGGTAAATTATCATCTTATTTCTTGCTAGCTGTGCCCGCGACTTCGTCCACGCGGAATAGTATTTTGGGTAGAATTTTGCAATTATTCAGGCTGTATATTTATTTATTTTGTAAATTTAATAAGACACATGTCTAAATACATTGTTCCACTGCAAAGAGCTTATTAAGTTAAATAATGTGGATAGTTTACGCGAGTAGTACACATTTAAATAAAACACTTTAACGGTTTAAAACGCGATATATTGGTTAAACTTATTTGAAAATGATTTTTAACTTCGGCCCGACGTTTTGGATGCTTTGCAGCAGCCGTGGTCACGGGGAGACGTCACGGGGAGGGTCACGGGGTCAAATAAGTTTAACTAATATATCGCGTTTTAAACCGTTAAAGTGTTTTATTTAAACTTATTAAGGTATTCACAATAAGTATATCCATGGTATTGTGTATTGTATATTTATTATATATGCCTATTTGAGTTTTAAAGTTACTTTCGCATTTATAATATTTGTAAGTAAATCAATTACGATACATGCACACAACTTTTCATCCCTCATTCAACCTTACTACCTTTTTTTCGTACAGCAAAAGAATTTACAATGCATGTCATCGAAAAAGGCGCATTCAAGCCAGCCAATCTGTGTTGTAAGTGCTACTTTGCCGCAACACTCCCACCCCCACCCTCACATCATTCCCACTCCCATTCTCACTAATACACTCACTCCCATTCCCAAAAAGTTACAGAAGAAAGTTTCATTGTTCTAAATCATTCTTCAAAAATCAATTTCGAATTTACCTCAGTTTCATACAAACTTTCATCCCCTTTTTCAATATTTTTTTCGGTATTAAAAAGTAGCCTTTGTCCTTTCTCAACTCTATAATATCTGTGTACCAGATTTCATTTAAATCGGTTCACTACTTTAGGCGTGAAAGCCGGACAGATAGACAGACAGACAGAGTTACTTTCGCATTTATAATATTAGTAGTGATGTATTAATTATTTTCATGATAGCGGAGGAAAGATTGGCATGGGATACACTTGATGGCAGGGGAAATACCCCAGACACATAACATCTAAGCAAGATGCGTTGTCAGCGCTTTTTAGCTATATATATAATATATATGCGGAAATCCACAGACTGAAACCGCAACGCGATTAATCTTGGCGGATTTTTCATCTGTGGACTGCGGTTGACCCGGTCGGAAATTCGATAGTCCCGTAATCCATTTAATATCAAAATTATTTATTGAAATGTTGGACTTGATGGGGATCGAAACCGCGACCCGTTTATTGCTACTGCTACCCTAACACCAACGAGCCCGTCATACGGACAGACAGACTACCGTTTATTGCCTGCTATTATATTTTTTGTCAACATTATTTCTATCTTAACAAGCAATTTCTTTTGCTTTATGAAAGTATTAATTTAAATAAATACTGTCTGTAGTTTACTCGAGTAGTACACGTTTAAATAAAACACTTTAACGGTTTAAAACGCGATATGTTTTGGATGTTTCGGATGCCACGGCTGCTGCGAAGCATCCGAAACGCCGGGCTAAATAATATATTTAATTATAACTAAAATATATCTATAATATAATAATAACTAAAATATATCGCGTTTTAAACCGTTAAAGTGTTTTATTTAAATCAATTTAAATACATATACATAAAACTTTCTCTTGTAGTTTAGTAGAGGTAATTAAGACACATTTGACAGGATCGTTATATTGTTAGTAATCAACGGGTTATAGATTCGATCCCCGGGGTTAAAATATTTCTAATAGACTCAAAAATTTTCTCAAACATGTTGGACTTTGTCTGGATATTCTGGATCTTAAGTTGGTGGTAGTTATATCGGAATTCCGTCCGGGTCACGAGCAATGACGAAGAAGCCTTAAAGTGTTATCGGATTACGATATCGGGTTTCCAAATTTCCAAAATAGATCGAGAGCGCATTGTCTTGAGATGTTATTTCACTTTGCTTCCCACTCCATCTCTGTTCTCTTCGATCATAAAAGGTCTTATTCTTATAAGTAATATTCTTTCAGAAATGCGCAAACTAAAAGCCCTGCACAACATGGGAGGTCGCGTTGGTCTGGTGGAGGCCCAACGCGCTGCCCGGGGGGCCGGAGCCCCGACTGCTGCAGCTACGGACCCCACGTCTGACCTCCACGCCCCAAGGGCTAGACACGGGTACCAGGCGAGAAGAAAGCACGCGGAGATCGTTTACGATCCATCATTGTTATGTATGATTTACTATAGAATATATATTTTTGACTTAAATGAAACCTTTAACAGATTAAAATAAATAATTGAATTCAAGTTTTGAAAACTTTTAAATAAAACACTTTAACTGTTCAAAACGCGAAATATATACTAGTATGTTTCGCGTAATAAGCAGCCCGACGTTTTGGATGCTTTGCAGCTTTTGCAGTTAAAAATAATTTTCAAACAAGTTAAACTAAAATATATCGTGTTTTATACCGTTAAAGTGTTTTGTTTAAATGTGTATTACTCGCATAAACTACAGGCAGTGTTTAAAAATATATTGTTTAAATCGAAATTACTTCTTAAACTGCAAACGTGAAATAGGTACACCGACCACATAACATCTAAACAGAATGTGCTGTCGTGCTACCTTAGCTATGAACATTCGTTCTATATATATAATATAGTAAGTACAATGTTCGAAACCTTTGACTCGGTAGCTCAGTTGGTTAGAGCAACAGCACAGAACGCTGTGGATGAGAGTTCAAGACCTGCCCGTGTCGTATTTATTTTTATAATTGATCATTTAATTTATATAATGCCATCGTGTGCATGTGAGAATGTGAGAAATATTAAAGTTTTCAAACATTCCATTTGTTGAACACTTGATCGTTTTTAAAACCAAAACTGGTTGGAAAGGGTTATTATCACGTTAATCAATATTTAAATGATAAAAATGCTTGGGGTGTGGAGGAACCCGCTCTAACAAGGTAAAAATATGTAGTCTACTAAAAGTACTCGAAGAAATGAAACTTGGCGACAAAAGGAGTGACGGCGAGTTTATTGCCAGTTCCTCTCGTTCGTTCTACGCCCTTGATTTGAGAACTGGTAGTAAATGTGAAGTTAGATTCTTTAGTTTTGCGACGTTCATCAGTGTATCTAGTTACCTACATGAATAAATGATTTTTACTTTAACTCGTCCCACAGTGCTGGAAGACCACATGGTGGTAGCGCAGCCGCCCACCTGGCTGGATCAGTGTGGGCAGAACCTCAACAGGTCGTGTTCCGGCCACCACCTGCCAAGGGACACGACGCAGCTCTGCGAACGGGAGACGAAGTGGAGCGAACAGTTCTTGGAGAACTTGCACAATGATCTCAAGAGTAAGTAATATTTTTATTAAGTAATACTTGGAGACATCTTCTAGGTCACAAGTGTCTGGTTCTGTTCACATAGAGGACGTGTGGATAAAAATGGAGAAGATCTTTTTATCGATACTTTTTATAAAGCTGAAGAGTTTGTTTCAACTCGTTAATCCGAGGAACTACTGGTTCGTATTGATAATCTTGTGTTGCATAGAGCATTTATCGTGGAAGGCTTTTAGGTAGAAATCATTGTGCTGTGACTAATAGGAGCGAAGAAACGGCGGGGAGTATGAAAAGATGTATAAAAGAATAATTCCTCCTTAAATGATCTAAAAAAATGTCCGCGACGCTATATGTCTATCTTTTAAGATTAAAATGTAAGAACGACGGGCTACGACCATCATTGTGGGTATTAGATTTATAAAGATGAAGAGGTGGTTTTCAAAAACATGATTGAATGCCCAAAATAACGATTCTACGCAGACGAAGCCATAATAGATCGACAGCGTGTATAGGCTGCGATATTTCACATTGCCATCAAGCACCACATGTATTTCTGTCCTTCTCTATCGTTAAAAAAGTAGTCGCGGTCACAGCTAGTCAATAATGCAAAGAATTAAATGATTAAATGATTTTTCCGAATATTCGGTTAAACGTCGGATTCGGTTCTCATCTATTCTGGTACTCTGCAGAGGCTCGTCTTGGTGCGGCGGCGTTCAGTGCTGGTCCGCTTCGTGTGCTCAAGCCACGGTGCTTGGTGGTGACCCCTCGACCTTCGACTCCAGTGGTGGAAGCTGTGCCAGAGGAGGATGAAGCTTCTCACCAGGCCGCACTCACGCTGCAGAAGATAATTCGCGGACGAGCTGTACAGAACTTGGTAGTTAAGATGTAGAGATTTATAAGTTGCTCGCGGTCATTGACCCAGACTAGACATATCTAAGTACCTACCCGCGCTATTTACAAAAATGGTGAAGTGCATTAAATGCAACAAGTTAATAACTAAAAATTTGCCTGGATTACAGTGCATTACGTGTAATAAATGGACGCACGGAAAATGCGCCAACTTAACTAACGAACAGTTAAATGTTCTTTTCTCGACCGAATCTGCGGATTGGAAGTGCCGTAATTGTTCGGGGCCAAAATCTAAACCGAAGCGGTTATCGTTTATTATGCCCGACGCCGAAGAAGACGATATCTCCGACTCCGAAGACCAAATCAAATCGGGTCTCAAGAAGAACATCTTAAACGAAATCAAAATAGAAATACGGGATATTATTAGAACGGAGATGCAAAGTGTCATGCAATTTTATATAGAAAAAATGGATGAGTACGAGCACAAGTTTAAAACATACGAAAACCAAATACGTGATCTTACTAATTCCAATAAAAATACAAAATTAAAATACGATGCATTGCAACAAAAAATAAACAATATGGAACAAAAACTGCTCTGTAATCAAGTGGAAATACACGGTATTCAAGAAGAGGAAAATGAAAATATATTAGAAATATGCAAGAATTTTTGTAATATAGTTAAAGTACCGCACGGGAGTGTTATTAAGGCGTATAGAAAGAAGTCCAGGAGAAATCGATCCGACAAGAAAGCGACATCCCCAATTGTGGTAGTTCTTTCCGACGAAGATAAAAGGGATAACTGGATGGAAGCATCAAAAAAAATTAGTATTACCTCGAAAGATTTAGGATTGCAAGGTGAGGGTAAGATTAGAAACTTTGAAGCCCTAACACCTACCAACTCTTTTCTACTATGGAAGGCAAAATCCAGCCTCCATGAGACTGGATTGTGTAAATATGTTTGGTGTAAGAAAGGAGTGATAAGAGTTAAAAGAGAGGAAGGAGACAGAACCTTTATCGTGCGATCAGAAGAAGACATAGAAAAAATAATTTGTGAATATAGTGAACTGAATTGTATAGAGAAGGAAGACGAGGAGTAAGTTATTATTTATATTATAATTTTACGCATTTATTACGTTAATTAAGATGGATTCAACTCATAATGTAAGTTACGAAACAACGGCAAACTCATGGAATGAATTTATACACACGCTACCCACAAGAAAGCAAGCCCTAATAACACTTCACGTTAATATAAGATCTATTATAAAAAACTTTGCTCAACTGGAATACATAGTAAATAGTAGCAAAGTCGTTATCAGCATAATCGCTTTAACCGAGGTGAATATATCGAGTGAATGTGTCAACATGTTCCAGCTAAAAAACTATGAGATGTACCACGAACTGCGCGATGGGAGAAGAGGTGGTGGTGTCATCCTATACGCCCATAAAAGTCTAAACTTTATCAGAATCCCTACGACAACCTTTAGTTTCGAATGTATCTCCGGCATTGTGACCCAGTCAAACAAATATAAAGTAAACGTGTGTGCAGTGTACAGACCACCGAACCTAAGCAAACAGTTATTTATATCCGAATTAAGCAGCGTTATACCTGTATGTGCACAAAAAAATAATTATATTTTACTAGGTGATATGAACTTAAACTTATTGTGTAAAACGAATAGCTACGTAAGTAACTACTTAAATAAACTAAGCGAATTAGGCTTCCATCAGGGAATTAGTCAACCTACGCGTGTTGAGTTAACAAATAACCGAGCTACGAGCACATGCATCGATCACATCTTTATACGCGAATATAATAACTCAAAACCAATTCACACCGTGGTCGTAAAGAATACGCTGGCCGATCACTACATAACCGGTTTAGCGATAACAGAGATCGAGCGAGATAGTGCGCAATGCAAAAAGATACGTAGACTCGATAGTAATAAGGTTAAAGTTCTATTGCGGGAGGTTGACTGGTCTCCTGCCTTAAATTATAATTGTGCAAATGATGTACTGAACTTTATTATTTGTAAATTTAACAAAATTTATGATAAATGTTATATCACCGAAACAAATAACTGTAGAAAACGGAACATGACTTGTAATTGGGCGAATGAAAGAATGTTATCTATGTGCTCTAAAAGGGATGAGCTACGTGCCATATGGCTGAGTGACATAAATAATAGTGCTAATCATCTACTTTACAATAAATATAGAAACAAAACTAATAAATATATAAATAAATTAAAAAATAAAAGCATTAAAAAAGAGATAAGTGTAAATTTTAAAAATTCTAAAAAAGTGTGGAATATAATAAATTCACTATGTGGTAAAATAACCCGCACAATTGATGACATTTTAACAAAACATTTCCAGAATAATAGTGTTAGTGAGATAGCTAATAACTTTGCCTACGGATTTGCACAAAACGTAAATAACATTAAGTACGCGTGCAACACGAATATCTTAAGCGAAGAGACATATGTCACTCAGCCGTGTCTCACCATGAGACTAAAAAAAGCAAATAGCGAAATTGTCGAAACGATTATCAAGACACTAAACCGAAGAAAAAGTCCTGGGTTCGACGGTGTGCGGGTCTCTGATGTGAAAGATATTGCGTGCCACATAAGCCCTGTATTAGCACACTTAATAAACTTGTGTATTACGCAAAGAACTTACCCGGACAAATTAAAGATAGGTGTTATCAGGCCGATACATAAAAAAGGAACATATAAAGACGTCAATAATTATAGACCGATTACTATATTGTCAACCATAGATAAAATTTTAGAAAAATATCTAGGTAAAGAAATAGAAAACTTTTTGGAGAATAATAAAATAATTAATGAATATCAGTTTGGCTTTCAGAAAAATAAAAATACAAGCCAGTTGCTGTCTAAATTTAGTAATGAAATTAACTCACACATTAATAGTAAAAAACATGTAATTGCAATTTTTATAGACTTCTCGAAGGCTTTTGAAACTTTAAATTTTTCCACACTATATAAAAAAGTCGCTCAAAGTGGTATTCAGGGTCCTCTGCTTGACCTCCTGAAAAATTACCACACTGACAGGAAAACTACAGTCAAAGTAGAAAACGCCTACAGTAAGTTTATAGCAACCACAATGGGCTCAGCCCAGGGTTCCGTGGTAGGGCCAACCGAATACCTGCTCTACTGTAACGATATGTGCAATGTCATAGAGGGGGGTTCCGTATACCAATTTGCCGACGACACATGTATTCTGGTAGCCGACACAAGTGTCGGTAGGGCGCAAAAACATATGCAATGGAACTTCGACAGGGTATGTGCGTGGGCGCACGACATGGGACTAGTCATTAATTATGATAAAACAAAACTAATGCATATACATTCCTCACGGCTGTCGTATGACCTGGTCCCATGCGTGCGATCTCACTCACATCAATGTCTCCATACGCAGAACGACAGCAGCGGCCAATGTAAGTGCCCTATTCTGGAATCTGTTGCCCAGCATACCTACCTAGGCCTTAAAATAGACAACAGATTTACTTGGAAACCGCATGTCACGTTTGTTTGTGAAAAGTTAAGAGCTATATTGTGTAAATTAAGTCTGCTTAAGTCCAAACTAGAATATTCGACTTTAAGGCTTATATATAATGCGCTAGCCGATTCAGTAATCGGGTATGGACTCAGCAGCTACGGGAGGACCTACAAGACCTACCTGAATAGCATTTACAGGATACAGATCAAAATATTAAAGACGATAGCACCGAGGGTCTATAAAAATTGCAATAGTAAACATGAGCTATTTGAAAAATGCAAAGTAATGCATATCTTCAATAAATTTAAATTTTTTTATTTATGCGAAGAAATAGGTTATATCCAGGAATTAGAAGTTAAGAAAAGACCTGATAATTTAAGACCCCTCGATTATTTGCCTAGATATGTTCTGCCCCCTTTTAACAATGCTTACGGAAAGCGCACACGCACTTATTTATTGCCCTTGCTTCTGAACGAGTTAGATGAACACACGCACAATAAACTAGTAAAAGATCCGGGAAGAAGCAAGGCAATTCTTAAGCCGTTTTATATCTAGTTTTATATTTAGTTTTATATTTAGTTTTATATTTAGTTTTATATTTAGTTTTATATTTAGTTTTATATTTAGTTAATAATGTTATATTGTTTGCCTTTTTTGTATTGTTAATTTTTAAGTTAATTTTAGTTAAAATAAGTTAATATTGGAGTATATATGACCCGAGTAGAAGATAAGAAACCGTTATAACGGTTTAAAAAAAAAATGTTTTTTTAAATTGTATTATATATTAGTGTTGGT